TAGGAACACGGGACAATGCCGAAGGTATGTTGTATAGGAGTATCGTAAATAAAGGTTGTATCTGGAGGGCTGATGTGGAATCTCGAGTGTGCCCCTGTTCCCGTCGATGAAAATTTACTGAATGTTTTCAATGCTCCCTCGAGCGAAATACTGAACATGCTGACTCTTGTCCACTCTGTGTTTTTCGTTTGTGGATGCCTGCTCCTATCCCACAGAGGGAGATTACGGATGAAGGAGCTACGCTCTCCCGCAGCGACACCTACGTCGGGCGTTGCAAGCCGTGCGAAGAGTACCCCGACGGCATGAAGACGAAGAAGGTGTCTGATGCTGTTCACTCGCTCGAGCGCGTTCTTTCGGAGCTGAACATCGACTGCAAGGAATCTGGGCCCGAGTACAACCTTGCGCGCTCGGCCAGGATCATCCTCCGGGTCGGCAAGAACCTCGACGGATACTGGGATAGCAACCGCTTGTGCGTGCAGCTTGAGGTGAGGAAAGTCAACCTTTAGATANAAGGAAAGTCAACCTTTAGATATCGACAGAGCAACATTGTGTTTCGAGGTGGGTTCATGGCCCTCAGATTTTCTTCCCACGACCTGGCTTCTACGTTCTGTTTCCAAACGAAATTCTGAGCCACGCGTCTCGCCAATACACATTTCCATCGCGCTCATGCTTTCATCGACAGGCCATATTCGCGGCGTTCGAGATCTCGAGGGAACCAGGCCGACAGATGCTCGCAGTCTTTGACAACTCCACCGGGCACAACGCATACAGCCCCGACGCCTTGAGGGCGCAGAACATCCGAGCCTCACCAGGGGGCGAGCAGATCCCCCCCCGCAACTTCGAGTACAACGGCAGAACGATCTACACGACGTTTCGGGAGGGCGACGTGCTGTGCTTCAGATCCAGCCCCTTCGCTCGAAAGACAGAGGCGGAGGCCGTGGGTGAGCTCCATCGTTGATTTAGGGACTTTTTTCTATGTAGACATATATCTATCTACTGCACTGCTCTAGAGACTTGACGTGATTTTAGGAACTTTTTTTGTGCGAGGCTTAAACAAAATACACCACGTGATACTCGAGCTTTCCCATCCCATCCAGTTTCGCAGATAGTGGCTATGGGTACGAAACAAATATCGCCTTTTCCCCAGTTTCCTTCTCTGCTCTTGCGGGGTTTCCAGGTACCACCCGGAGCTCAATGCTTTTCCAGCGTTTCTGGGGCTACACCAAGTCTATCGAGCGCCGTGTCTGCGACTACTCCGTCCTGAGTCTGCTTGCAAGGCTTCCCATGACGCTGAGCACTGTCTCTTTGTCACTGTGCCGAAAATGGGCCCGTGTTTCCTGGCTGTACATATATGCCTACAGCCACGGGCTTGAGGGCTACTTGCAAACCCGAGACCTCAAGAAGTGGACGAACCACCGCTCGCCCACCGACACGGCCGACAACGTGTTGCTGGCTCGTGGCCAAGCAACAACCGCGGAGGAGCGCAAGGCCAAAGAGCAGGCCGCCCTTGCCGCGGCCAAGGAGGCCAGAAAAAAGTCTAACGAGGCTGCCGATAAGATGTTGAAGCGTTTCGTAGCGGCAAAGGTCGCACCACCTCACTTCACCGGCAGCACCAGCCGGCGCGATGTTGTATCTGTGTAACCATATAGGTATAGATATTCTACCTTACATTTGCGTCCTGCTCCTTTATACTTCGATATAAAAATTTTTACATGTGGTCTTAACCGACATGGTACATAGTATTCTAGATAGAATATGTAGGACACAACTTAATGTACATAGAATATATATCTATCAAGCGAAAAAGGTTGTTCTACTCGGCGCTGCCGAGCTAAGGGTGCAGGGCCCTGCCTGCGGGGCTGTACTCGGGGTAATACGTGCCGTTTCGGGACAATACGCGGCGTTTCGGGGTAATTTCGGGGTAATTTTCGCCCAAAAACGGCCATTTTCACCTAATAAATATTTGACCCCGGATATCGATGCTTCTCGACCTTGCGGTTCTTCTCAACTTTTTTTCGCGTGTCAACTCTCAAAAACAAGCGAGAAAAAGTGGGGGTCATGTTGTGGAAAAATTTAACCGGACGGACTCTAGATGAACAGCAGTGGGATGAGAGAGGGGAAAATCAAACACACAGAAGGGTTCTCACCTGTTGCTTTGTCCTCGAGATCCGCGTAGCAGGGGCTTGGGCGCCCATACACCTTGTCTACATCGGCTAGGGCCTTCTCAAACACTAAGCTGTTCCTCTCCCTCGAAAGGCCGGGGATACCTCGCGCCTGGATAGCGATCTGTAGGAGGCTGACAGGCCACGCTGTGTGAATACGGCTTGTTCTTGTTGCGTTTGAGGGACCTCTGGGTCGCGGAGGACGCCACCGATTGCAGCGGTGTTGGGGATGGAGATTTCGCCCTCGACGGCGTTTTACCCTTGTCCATCACAACAGGGGGTACCGGTACATCAAGCGCCGTGCGCGCCGAGCTTTCGGTTGCCGCGCCGTTGTTGCTGGAAGGGTGGTCCGTGTCGAAGGAGTCGTCACTATATTGCTGTCGCCACCGGCACCATCATCGCCGCCGACATCAACGCCGCCGGCACCAATGCCGCCGACCTCCGCGTCCCTCATTATTTCCAGCAGGGTTCCTTCCCCTCATCTTCGGAGGACCTGATGACCTAGGCCCTGTGGCGGCCCTCNGGTACCGGTACATCAAGCGCCGTGCGCGCCGAGCTTTCGGTTGCCGCGCCGTTGTTGCTGGAAGGGTGGTCCGTGTCGAAGGAGTCGTCACTACTGCTGTCGCCACCGGCACCATCATCGCCGCCGACATCAACGCCGCCGGCACCAATGCCGCCGACCTCCGCGTCCCTCATTATTTCCAGCAGGGTTCCTTCCCCTCATCTTCGGAGGACCTGATGACCTAGGCCCTGTGGCGGCCCTCGCCGGAGGGGCAGATGGGGTGTATAGCGCCGACGATGCGCCAGAGATGCCCGGGAGCATTCCGCGTGCGCTCGAAGCTCCGCCGGCAGCAGCGCCGAGATGGCCCTTCTCTCTGAATGTGGCTGGGGTAGCAACCAACCAGCGACCAGTAGCCCGTCCCTTTGTGCTGTCTGCCATGGTGTCTTGGTTGTGGAGGTGTTGACGGCGAAGGTGTTGGGTGTGAGTGTGTGGTGCTTGTCATCAGGCACGCGGCGAGATTAATTTGGAAAATTTGGAAGAACAGCTGCAGCACGTATAAAATCTCTACTCCTATAAAGTGGAGATGTTGGTTCCAAATAGAATTATTATTTTTTTTCACTTCAAATCAGCGATCACGGCAGTAGTGCCGGATTCGAACCCGTTACCTGACCTCTAGAAGAAGGATTCGAGGTTACCAACTAGACCACCGGGGCGACCGGTGTATGTATTTGGACCCAAATTTCCAGAATTTATTGAACAGAAATTTGGGATGAAGAAGTATAAAACGGCCCGCACCCGAGGACCGCCAGGCGCTCATGTCCAGTGCAGGAGGCCAGTTCTCCGAGTTACTCGCCCAACACTGGAAAGAGGGCTCCACACCACCCGAGTGGTTGGTGTCACTCTTCCGCCCTACCGCGCAGCCCTCCACCACAACTCCGGCCTCTGCAGAAGAGGTCACTCAGGTGAATACTTCTTCCACAGCACGTAGCAGTACCGTTGAGAATAATCAGAACATTGGAGGTAGCGCCTCCTCAGGTCTCAGTTTTCGCCAACCAGTATTGCCCTCTGCAACTCAGAACACACCTGTGCATCCACGCAGCTTAGCCCCCGAGTTGGCATCTACTCAGCATAGCGAGGATAGTACACACAGGCCTAGCAACCCTGTAGCGCCGTCCGCCCCCCAGCTTGCAAAATCTTCTATGCCTGTAGGCACCCCCGTTTCAACGCACACATCTAGCTATACACTTTCCCCCTCCCCGGCCTGCTCCCCGGCCGGGGCCGAAATCGACCTTGTGAGNGCCGTCCGCCCCCCAGCTTGCAAAATCTTCTATGCCTGTAGGCACCCCCGTTTCAACGC